TTTTTTTAAAAAAGAAGCAAAAAAATTATGGTCAACCAATAAGATTATAAGTATGATTGATTAAATTAATAATGATTAAATGTCATTAAGTCACGTGGTGAGTTTACACAGAATAGAATTGGGGCTTTTCCTGGAGAGGGTGGGTCATTGGCTCTTTCTGCAGCCCTGCAAGATAATAGAGATTGATTTAGAGCATTAATTAGTGCTGCTCGGGGCGGGGAGATAGCTCAGTAGAGTAAGCCCTTGCTTGGCAAACACAAGGGCCTGAGTTCAATCCCCGTTTCAGAAAAAAAAAAAAAAAATTAAATTACTGCTGCTCATCCCTAGGTGAAGTGTGTGGATGTAGCCATTCTACCTTTCATCTTGAGATCTGCCCCTCAAGCAATGCACCTCCTCCACAGTTGCGTTCCCATCTTCCACACTGCCTATTCCTGTCTGACTACTTATATTTCTACCTACTAAGCTTTCTACAGTAGCTGTTCTTTCCCACCCCTCTTTTCCTTACCATAATAAAAGACCCTTTCCCACCTGCACAGGGTAAGGTGCTGATTTGTGGTCATACGAGGCCTTTCCACCCCCTAAGAGCTAGCTTTTAACAAAGCCTTTTTCCTGTCACAAACACAATTGACTCTTTTTCTTTTAATTTTTATTTATTTGTTTATTTATTTATGTATTTTGTGTCTGTGTGTGGCCAGCTCAGCCCACCAGGGGGCGGGGCTGGCTGGCATGTGGTGCTGGAGGATTGAACCGTGGTCCCTGTGCTTTGCTTAAGTTTAGCTTGTTCTAAGTAGGTGCATTAGACCACTGAGCCATCTCACCAGCCCCCACAATTGACTCTTCTAGGTTGGTCAGTGTATAGTAAGGAAATCTGCTAACAGGTAACACTGGCATGGTTAAAACAGAGGAATATAGATCCTGGGGTACCTGGGCCACATAGAGTAGAGGCTCAGGACATTTTTTTCTCATCAAAGATGTTCTCCTGGTCAGGCCCTTTCATTTTCTTATTTTGTGGTGCTGAGGATAGACACCAAAGCCTCTTTAAGGCAGAGCTCTTCCACTGAGCCCCACACACCCGTGCCCCTTCTTTTTTTAAAGAATGGCTGCTTCCAAGAGGAGCAGCCCCCTTCCTAGCTAGAAAGTTTTTTTTAATTATCTGCACATCATTATATACAGAAAAATTCAAAACATTTAAAGAATTTTTTTAAAACTTTATTTATTTATTTATTTATTTATTTATTTATTTATTTTGTGTGTGTGTGTGGCCAGCTCAGCCCACCAGGGGGCGGGCTGGCCGGCATGTGGTGCTGGGGGGATTGAACCGCGGTCCCTCTGCTTTGCCAAGCTTGTTCTAAGTAGGTACTTTAGACCACTGAGCCATCCCACCAGCCCTAAAGAATTTTTTTTAAAGAATTTTTTAATTGTTTTTGGGGGCCAGGGAGATGGCTCAGTGGAATAAGTGCTTCCCTGGCAAGTGCAAGAGCTTGAGTTCAATCTCTAGTTCCGCAAAAAAAAAAAAAAAAAAAAGAACTTTTTAATTGTTTTTGCAACACTAGGGATTGAACTCAGGCCCTTGGGCTTGCCAGGCAAGCGCTTGTTCTGCTGAGCTATCTCCCCTGCCCCCTCAAAACATTTATAATACCTCACTTGAACTGCCTTTTTTTTTTTTTTTTTTGCGGAACCAGGGATTGAACTCAGAACCTTACACTTGCCAGGCAAGCACTTATTCTAGTGAGCTATCTCCCCGGCTCCTGCTTTATTGTTTGTGATAAACTTACATTTCAGGGCAAATCCAAGTCTGTCATATCAATTTTTAGTTTTAGTTTTTGTGTTTAACTTTTTTTTTTTTGTGGTACCAAGGATCAAACTCTGGACCTTGTACTTGCCAGGCAGGCACTTATGCTGCTGAGCTATATCCCAGGCCCATTTGTTTAGATCAATTAACAAAGGGCTGGGAAGATAACTCAGTAGCATAAGCACTTGCTTGGCAAGTGCAAGGGCCTGAGTTCAATCCACAGTTCCACAAAAAAAAAAAAAAAGTCATTAACAAATATAAATCAAGATCATTTCAGGAAGTTCAAGGCTTAGCTAAAAATTATAGGATTTTTCCTTTTCAGGTAGGAGTGACTGAGTTTGGAGTTTTGTAGTAACGTCTAGAGTAGAAAGGCATAATATTTCTGAGGTTTTTTGGCAGAACTGGGGATTGAACTCAGACCCTTCTACTTGCCAGGGAAACACTTATTCCACTGAGCCATCTTCCTGGCCCTGAAAAGTAGTATTTTTTTTTGTCTATAGAAGAGCTTATACCAGTATTCAGAAGCATAATTCAGTGAAGTTCTGAGGACTAAGCCAATGGAAGTGTTTATGTGTTTTGTTATTGCAGCTGTAACTCATCTATATGTCTTGGCTATCAGATTTGCATAAGCACAAGGCCCTGATGATTCCTACACAGAGGAATAGCTGGTCATCTGATAGTCTGTACCCTCGTAATTGGCACCACAAACTTGCAGTTTAAAAGTTAGTACTTTTTTCTTTTAGAGACAAGTGGCTTGCTCGGACGGACCTAGGTTACAAACATGTTCTTCAGCCCAGCTGAATGAACAGGATGCAGATGTGGACACCAGGGGTCCTGGACCCTTTCCTTTCCACAAGAAAGGGGCAGGCAGGGTGAGGAGGTGGGGCTGAGCTGAAGATGGCTAGAAATGATAAAGCAAGGGTGGAGACTTGCATTTTCCCTCTGAGCTCCCACTCCCCAGTCCTGTTATAAAACACACTTGCCCACCCGTACACAGGGAGATGGTGATTTGAGGCAAATGGGCCCCTCCATCTCCTTGGAGCCTGCTTTCAATAAATCCTTTTAGCAAATTAAAAGGCCTTTTGTTACTGGTCATGTCAGTTCTTAAGCTTCGGTTCATTTGCTTGCTGTAGACCAAATCAAAGGAGGCCACATATTATAGGTGGGCAAGGGTCTTTTGTAAGGAACCCAGGGGAGAAGGCGCACAGAGAGACAATAACACATTTCCAAGCTTGCTTTATGACTTCCGCGGCCTTCAGCCCCACCCTCCCTTTCTGATGGAAAGGAAACTGAGCTGGCCTCCTAGGACCTGCATTTGAATACTCTCTGTCATTTCTTTTGTGCTGAGGAAAGGAGGGTGTGTCAGTCGTGAGGTCTGCCGGAGGAAGCTTGAAGTTGTTTATCTCTAAATGGAAGAAATACACAACTTTTAAAATGCTTCAAAACATCTTGTACTATGAATAACTACTACTACAAAGACAACAATATGTAATGTATTAATCATTGTAACTGTCCTACTAACTTGTTTTGAAACTGTCTCATTGCTACTTTCTCAATAAAATCAACATTTTAAAAAAATCATGTTTTACAAAAAAAAAAAAAAAAAGAAAAGCTTCATTTTGCAGCCGTGGTAGCACTTTGATATGGACAGTGGCAAACAATGGACCTGGGTGGCTGGTAACATCTGCACTGATTCCAAAGAAAAATATTCTTTCAGTACTGGAGGTTGAACACAAGGCAATGCCTCTTTAACTCTTTTATTTTGAAATAAGATCTGCCTAAATTGTGTCTAGGCTGGACTGGGATTTGCAGCCTTTGTGCCTCAGGTTCCCAGAGTGTTGGGATTGTGGGCACACATCACCATGCTCAGTTTATCCAAAAGCATATTTTTTTTTTTTTTTTTTTTTTTTGCAGAACCAGGAATTTGAACTCAGACCTTTGCACTTGCCAGGCAAGCGCTTATTCTACTGAGCTATCTCCCCGGCCCCCCAACTTTTTTTTCTTAATTATAAAAATGAAAATAGCCTGTGAATCTAAAATCCTAGAAAAAGGGTCAGCGAGATAGCTCAGAGGACTAAGTGCCTGCTTAGACAAGCTCAGGGACCAAGGTTCCATCTTTGGCACCACATGTCATGCTGGCCCTGCCTCTGGGTGTGCTGAGCAGGCCACCAAGTTCAGACATGGTGGCACACCCCTGTAATTTCAGGGCTAGGGAGGCTGAAAGCAGGAGGATCACTACAAGTCAGAGCTGTGTAGTGAGATTCTGTACCAAATACATTAAAAAAAAAAAAATCCTTTGTACTTAAATTTGACTAAATTTGTTTTAACTTAAAAAATATTAATTTAATGAAACTTAATTACTTTCCTTTTTACTCTTTTTTTTTTTCTTTTAGTTATTAGGCATTATACCAAGGGCCTTTGCCCCTTTGTGCTGAGCTACATCCCCAGCCTCTTCTTAAATGTTTTGTGACTTGGGGACAATGTCTCACTAAATTTGCCCAAGTAGGGCTCAAACTTTAAAATCAGTACAGGGGCTGGTGAGATGGCTCAGTGGTCTAAAGTACCTACTTAGAACAAGCTCAGCAAAGCATGGGGACCACGATTCAATCCCCCAGCACCACATGCCAGCCAGCCCTGCCCCCTGGTGGGCTGAGCTGGCCACACACACACACACACACACACACACACACACACA